ATTTTTCGAAATACTGATTAAAATTTTCTACTTCCTAACATCACTCGCTGTAATTTATTAGTGAAACTCAAGCAATCGTTAATCTCCTGTGCTCAAATTTTATTTGTATAATATTTTCTAGTCGAAATATAACGATGTGTCCGTTATATGCAAATTTTAACATTCTACAGTTTAGTAATAGTAGTAAAATTTCATAGGGATAGACCGCTTTTGGGTTATAACCGAACAACTGCAAAAATTTGGGGGTTTTCGACCACCAAAATTCACCGCGGGGCTTTCGAGTTGGTAAATTTGGATTCTCCAGGTCCATACCACTCCTTGACATATAAAAAATAAGATTCAAGCTTTCCATAAGGAAGATGCAGGTGTTTCGAAGTATTTCGCGTTTCATATTGGAGAAGTGGAAACGTTTGGCGCGTGACGCCATTTATTTTAAATTAGAGAGGAGTTATTTTTTTGGTATACGTGTTCTTTCCTTAAATACTGGAGACAACAAGAAAACGAGGCTGCTAGTTTCGCGACGGTGGGAGAGCGTGTACATTTGTCTAGGCGAATTTTCTTATGGGCGGTCAGCCTTTTATATGTAAAAACGTCATTCGTCGGTATCGAAATAAATTTGTGCAGAAGCAAGTTAACCAAAGTGGTGTTGAGAAGCTTAACGCGTGTCGTTCTAATTTCTCAGTTGACAAAGCAAGCAGTTATAGTGTACAGTGTGGCATTTTGTAAGATCCCTATTTATTAAAGGTTTATACCGTCCGAAAATGTGTCATCAAATTCAGCAAGCCAGATTTTGTAATCAAGTTCAGTGCTATTAAGACCATGTGAAGTTTCCTGAAGCTGTTGGCGTTTAAGCGAGTTAAGTGCGCTCAGTATCGCAAACCTTTTACGACCAGATTATTTGGATTATTAGGAAAAAAACTGTACGTAATTTGAAGATTTCTTATTTTAATTGTCGGCCGTATGTCCAAACAAGATTTTTAAGCTTTTCTTTCTTTCAGGGATTTTGCTTTAATTTTTTTCATGCGTTTCGGAGTAAATGATTGTCATAGTCAGTTACTTGTGTATTTATTCGAATTCATTGTGCGACCCGGATAGATTTTTCATGTGAGATTTATTCTCGTTCCCAAGAATTATGTCAGGTGTTAATGATGATTTGTGTAGTTAATCCTTTAGAATCTTCGGATATCGCATACTTCGCATACTGGGTCTCCCAAATTATTACTTTAAAGTCAACATTGAGATAAGAGCATAATTTTTCATAAACAACTATTTAATGAACCATTTAGTAGGATAATGACAATTTTTTACAACATGTAAGTAATTAATATTGAAGACTGTAGGAGTTCCCATAAAAGGTAAATTACACCAAACAAATTTAGGTACAATTAAAAAGCTTTCTTCGCGTTCAACATAAGAAAATATTGCACTCTACATATTTGATATGTTTAGACACTAAACGGTTATTAAATGTTTTTCTAATTACATATTCCATATTGTCTATGTAAATTTATATACGACTCGTTAATATATACATTTACAATTTAAACACTCAGTCACTAGTATTTTTTAGAACTTTTCAACATTATTATAATATAAACTACAAAAACTTTACAAAACAATATTACACATACCTATACAAGTGAAATTAACATCGCTATTTTCGATTATAATTTTATAAAATCTCCTTCTTACGTTTATACATGAAATGCGACTAGCATCAATATAACGACCCAACACAATCATACTGATAAAATTTTCGAAAATATCTTGGAAGAGTTAACGAAGGATACATTTTACTTTACAAAGGCCAACATTTACAAGTGATTGGGTATGAAGTACAAAGCTACTTTTTACAACGCAAATTATACAGGCACCGTATTCTCAAAGATTACATTCTAGATAGAGGATTCTAGAGTTCGATGTGCAGTAAATTCGAATTTGCTACTTTGGTCAACAACATTGTACCGGACATCAATTTTTGGCTAATTACTTCCATTATTGCTTCTTTTAGTTTATCTATAATTTGAAGCGGAAAGCAAAGAAGATTCATGAAACTTTCTATAATCGTTGCATATCGGAGAATGCAAGTTTTATAGAAAGTCAAATATTTGTAATTGGATTTTATTAGTTTCACCAGAATCATTTTAGAGTTGTTGGCGTTAGCCTTGGAAGGAAATCAAATTATATATTTAGAAAATTTGTACACATACTTAAATGTTATCTACACATCTGAGCAATTTTTCTGGTCTCCAAACGTATATATACTAACTGGAAACTAATGTAATCAAGACTGCGTTTGCATGAACACCTACTGTACAATATTGAATTGACACTATCGAGTCGAAATCTATCCAATAAAATCCAACATGAAGATACATTAGGAGACGGGGGTGTGATGCGGGCTACAGTGACTTACACACTAATGTTACTCTATACCTATATAAATCACTAAATTACGTGGTCAAAAAGTGACCTATCACGTTTATAATAAAGGAATCATTTCTGATTCTGATATGTATGTGATCTCAGTTGATATTTTTGAAAAACGTTAAAACCAATTAGACTATCAACTCATAATTTGATAAATAGTCACTAATTTCTAATTTGTTAAGGTACATTACATCATTTCAAATGTGCGCTGTATATACACTTACAGGAACAATCGGTGTGATTCTATGTACAAAAATATGATCATGACAAAACATCAATGTGTAAAAAGATTCAATTAAAACCTTGCCTAAACGGATTTCGATTAGGCTCGGGTTGTGGTGGTCGGAAAGGGTTTTGTTCGGGTTGTGCGGGTAAAACGCGCCCGGATGGCCTTGGAGGCGCTGACTGAGGCTGTGACTGCGGCTGTTGAAACGAATTTTGCTGGTAAACATTTTGATAATCCTGTTGGGCGTAGGCGTTTGTTTGATTTTGATCTTGGTAATAGCTTTGTTGTTGATAACCGTTTAATTGCGACGAGTCTAGGTTAGTTTCCTGTTGCTTGTATTCTAAATGGTTTGCTATATCGCCCATTACAGGTTTCTGGTCCTGCATTGTATATGTTTGATATTCTTTGTTGGGCGGATCTGACATTAAAATATTGGCTTCATTCTCAAAAGGCTTAAAGTCGTATATGTGTTTTAAGTAAATGAGAATTGGGGCGTACAGTAAATTTGAAAATGCTATACCTATATTTAGAGCTGTAAAACCGATTGCTTCTACAACACCTCCAGCTATTATGGGTCCAATAGCGTAAGCCACAGAGTACGATATATCGGCAATTGCGTAAATACTTCCATATATTGAAACGTACCTCACATCTACTAAGTATCCTAACGTAGGCAGAAGAGCGGTGTCTATTAAGGCTATTCCGAAACAAATTCCACAAATAGGTATCATTAAAATTTTGTAACTTGTTGAAAATGGAATTATAAAACAACATAAACCTTCTAAAGCTAATCCACCAGCGGCCATTAACCATTGGTATTGAGGGTATTTTTTTGCCATTTTTACAGTCAATATAACACCGAACACGTGTGGAAAAAAGGCAGGTAACCATATCATACCGATTTTCCAATTGTCTGTAGTGATATTGTCTTCCATCCATAAGGAAATGGTGGGCTCTAAAAATGCGAGCGCCACATTTGACATCATTAACGCACCAGCACAAACTGCAATGTAGGGATCCATAAAGAGTCTCCAGATTGGTACTGAAGGAGGTTTCGCCCTCTGGGATTCTTTTATTTGTTCTTTCAAAGGCTTCATTACCAGAAGTAGCATGAATCCATCCATTAATGAGACAAAGGCTAGTATAAGAAATGGCATTTCTTTTCCGGCGAACTGGTAAAGCGCTCCACCAAAAGGGGGTGCAACAAGACATCCGAAACTGATAAATGCCAACGCTATTCCTAATGCTTTGGTACGTTCCGCCTCTTCGGTGAAACGATCGGCGATCATTGCTAGACCGGAGGTGTCCGCGAATGCCGACCCTACGCCTTGGAGACTTCGCGCGAAGAATAGGAGGCCGTAGCTGCGGCCGCATGCGAATGTCGCCGTCGATAGGAACATTATACATAGTCCTACCATCATTGGCAGGTCGTAACCAATTCGGTCGATCAGTGCTCCCGAAAAAGGGTTCACCATTAACTGTACGATTGCTTTTGATGCGAACAGGACGCCCGTAGCTCGGTCCTGTCCATGGTGGTCGTGTTTGAACGGCATTCCCGGGGCTACTGTTGATGAGTTTCCCGGAATTGTCGGCTCGTCCGTATAAGCACCAATGTATCGCAGATAATCCGGAATAATTGGAACAATCACCATATATAACATATTATCGAGAAGCAACGCAATAGAGACTATAACCAGGATTAGCTTCCGCTGCGATCTTGGTTCCTGAAGCTTTGCCCATACCACCTCCTTCAGCTCACCGAACTCCATGTTGATGATGGGTATTGTCGTCATCGCGGCGAAAGACCAGCAGGCGGCCAAAGGATTTCGCGACGTCGTCGTCGTATCGTCTATAGCGGCTCTTTGGGGGCGGGGGAGTGCAGTGCCATCCCGTTAACCTGAAGATAGCAGAGAACAATAATTAGACACTGTCTGAAGGTTGGGTGGGGAGGCACTGCGCTGGTCCCCCCCGTACCCCGCCAACCGCATTTTATGCAATTTCTCGTTTTAAAATATGTGCTCTTCATACATTTTAAAATTAAAATTATTAACTTACACGAATGCGAAAGTGAAACGAGTACTTTAAAAGCAAAGTATGAAGAGGATACGAAATTGTGATCTTTGTACAGTTCTTCACAAAAAGTATTGATTACGATTGAAATGCGTAATTAAAACAATAGCCTTCAACCATTTTACAAGTAACGGCCATTTTGTTTGCATTATATATATGTAACTTTTGTTTGTAAGAAATTGCGGATCAATACGTGACATTTCTTTCAGTTGTAACTTGTATGAAGGTGATTTTCATTCCAGATAATTCAAAGTAGACTATTTGTGTTGCTTACCTGTATCAGGAAGCGCGTTTCCTAAACGATTTGCAAAGAACCCGCGAATGTTGGTAGCCACGCGCGAATCTCCGAGTAGGCTGAGGCTGCCTCCCGGACCGTATTGCCCGCGGTTCTCCACGGCGCCGCTATCTAGGTGCACTGTATGTGGCTCACTCCCGCTTCGTACGACCCTTTCCTACGACGGAGCTTGCGATATCTTAATGTAACACGGGTTGCAGTGTAGCAGGGGCGGATCCATCGATAAGCACGCGCTATACTCACCCCTACAGCATTGGTTCCCTTCGGAGACGTCACCACCCCTAAAACCAATCGCGAGGATTCCCAAATGCTCTAATTTATACCCCCACAATATTAAAATAAATCTAAATAGGAAACTGAACACCATTTAGATATTTAAACGTAATTTTGCTCAAAGAAAAAGGAATCTTAAGCCAGATCAAACTGAAACTGTTCAATTTCTAATCGGATTTTAAAATTTAATAAAAAAAATCTAATGGAACGCACCACAACGTATTTAAGTTACCTAACCTGGATGCACCTACGTGATACTACTACCACCAAATTAAGGTGGACTTTATACAACATAAATCGAAGGCAAATGTCTTTACCTGTGTTATTCCGGAAAGAGTAGGTACTTGTCACACGTGAGTAAATAAGTGAGAAAGTTACAGAACTAAATGAAGTTGGATGTTGCATTTTTCTATTCATGCAATGTATACCAACTAAATATCAGAAAGCAATGGTACGTTGTAAGCTCGTATATTTTAAAATTAGTTACAAAAAATCAGTATTCTGAACTGAAAATATTGCCGTAACATGTCATATTATTGCGAAAAGGTATTGTGCAAAGCTACTGAACGTACAAAAAAAGCACTCTTGGCTGAATTCGCATGCAGGTTCACGTTTTCATTGTACGTGTAATGAAAATAGAGCTTAGAGCACCTTTCGTGTCCTTCCCATTGACATTGCGTTCATTTATCGATTACATAATAAAACGACGAGGGACTTTATTATACTAAAGAAAAAGGTAGGTATCAATTATTCTAATTAAAATAAACTTGGCCGTCCGTCGCTATTATAATCTATTGTGATTTTTCAACCAAAGAAATTTTAGATATGTACATACATCAAATGTGACATTGAACCAGGTAAAGAAAATCGCCTAAACCTACAAAAGTGGAGAACCAAAAATCATTAATTCCAATCAGGCTCGTTAGTTCTTATTAATGGTGAGAAAGTACGAGTACAAAAGAAAATTGGTGCTCGAACTTAAAAAAATTACAGCGATGAAAATCTTGCAAATGCTATTATCGCCAATGAATTGGTTTCTGGGCCGTGTGGAAGAACTTAAAGATCAGCTGTGGCTGAATATGTTACCTTTTGGGCTTGTACCAATAAACGTATTATTATTATTATTATTATAAAGGTTCTGGTTCTGGTGGTGTTAACAGAGTAGTATGTATCCCTCAAGACATTCTGAGGCACACTTCGTCGAGCAGTCTCCAACATCTGTCCCCTTCCTATAGAAGAACAGTGAAGTGTATTTCGGTTTTCATGTATGTACTTAATGTTGAAGACTAGTGTGCAAATTTTACAGTGAGAAAGGTGTACTTTCCTCACTTAGGAAAATGTAGTTTAGGGAATGCCGATTCCGGTTCGGTTACAAAAACTGCATAGCACCATATTTTTGTTTTATGGCTCAAAATAGTATGCCCAAAAAGCATTTGAAATGTATTGTAAACGTATAATATTTGAGAACAGCCATGAATGAAAACAACAAAACTAGAGTAATATTACAAATATATAGTATACTCTACCTATGAGAATATGTTGTGCGCTTTAGATCCCTAAGATGGCTGTAGGGAGATAGAATATTATAAACCTTTTGAAACTTCGTATATAGTCTGTATCAAATTAAGCCGGCACTATTGTTAATTTTCTTAGTTGTAGGAGTGTATTTTTTTACTGAATCTAGATCTGTAAGTTGTTGATGTAATGAAAAAAACAACATCGCATTTTTCAGACAAAATTGTAACTTTTTATATGAAACACCCTGTATATTATTACATAATGACATAAGAAAAATGTAGACGCGTATGGCAATAGGAAAAATAAAATAGTTGGGAGTTGCCGTACTGGAAAAAGTTTGGATATCCACAGTTTATTATCTGCATCTGTTTCAATTTAAATTTACATTCCCTAATGTTCCATGTGCACTTTCCCAAAAATAAATAACAAATCTGTTTGAACACGTAAAATATTGTGTGTCGAAGGAGAATCAAATATTTCAATGCCACATGAGCGTTGAATAATAAGGTATAGGATGTTCAAGCGCATTTTTTTCGCGACAGGCTGAACCTGACAAGGGTTAATATGTGATACACTATTTGGAAGATCATTATATTCTCTGATCAGAGATAACATTAATTTTAATTGCAAAAAATAGCAGAAGAGTAAATGAAATTTTGATAATTTGAAACTACGAAGTATATCATTATTTAACAGAACTCCGAAGCAAAAGAAATGTATTGTTTTTTTGCCTTCAAATGATTATCACACGAGTCTGTTTCCATTAATTTTTTTCAGAGGTTCACCACCCCAGGCAAGTGGATGAAATGACGTTGTGTTTGAATCTCCTTCAGTACAAATTTGAGGTGCAATGAAATGCGTTTGTTTCTGAAAATGATTTATGAGGGGATGCAAATTTTACTTCGCACAACCTGTATAAGTTGAATAAAAGGTAATGTTGATTTTTGAACGCGATATACTAGTGTACTAAAGGGTAACGCCATATGATAATTGTAAGGGTGCGATATTTGAGGAGTAAGCTTCATTTTTATAAGGAACTACTCTCCATCAACATTTGTTAATAATCCAATTATAACTATGGGAATATCACATTTTCTAATCTAAGACGGGAATGGCGAGTCGTGGCAATTTTCGCCTGTATTTTACACTATGGCTTAACTATTTCGTTTGTCAGCTTTACCACAAACATTATCTGTGGCATATTTCAATAACGCCACTGTTCTTCAGTATAATGAACCTTAATGAATACGAATGAATGAATATTTGCTACGGTCTTAATAGTTGTGGATTTTTATTTTATTTATAGGTAGATACAGGAACCTACGTTTTTAATAAAATAAATAAATCGAAATCCAAACAAATCTGCTTGCTACATTTAATCTATTGTTACATTCAATAACACACAATTGAATTTTCTTTTCAGGGAGTGCGCAATTTTGTTATCCCGAGCACGGAGCACGACTGTTACAGTGAAAATTAGCCCCATTTTCAATTCCTATCGTGCCTCTTATTCTCCAACGATCATAGTGTTTCAGAACACATACACGAGGCCTTTAATTCTCTATGGATTCTTTAAAATTCGACGACTGTACTTCTGTAAGTGGGTCTCTGGTCGTTGTTTTAAAGAAAACACACAAACAATAAATTGTATTAAATTTTTTTTTGGTATGAGGTGGTATCTGGACGATCTGTTCCTGAATAATATATTTGTTTCGGGGTTCATTTGATTTCTGATGAATTGATCCTCCTTACTTATAGCTGTAGACCTTCAACCTTTATAGTGAAAGTGATTCCTGCACTGTTCGTCAAAGTTTTATAAAACGCTCATCATAACGCATGATCTCATTAAAGGATATGACCTAAATGTTAAAGAGCAGAAGAGGATGAAATATGTCTGGTAGTTCCAATGCAACGGGGGTTAAATTTATCAAAAATGGTCAAATGTTAAACTAACTGTTTAGAGAAATTTTTCTAAAGCAATTTTTTTTATATACTCGTTTTATCAATCTGCCCTTTTCTTATGTAATCCGAACAAGCAATTGGGTACTACGGACCTAAGGATCCGTACCATTCAATATTAAGAAGTAGACATAGGGATTTACATTTTATTGTTTTCCCCTATATCTACTTTTAAATGACAAATTCACTTCTAAAGCGCGCTTAATTTTGTGGAACCAAAATAGCTTCTTAAAACTAGTAAAGATCTGGCTATCATATTAATTAATTTTAATTTGTTGCTTTGACTTCACAGAAAATATATCTCTTACGCTACTTAAACAGTTACAGACATTATACCAATTGGCATCAATATCAACATTTTCTTCAGTTGAATACATCGCACACGAACGAAAGGAAGCCAAAGGAACAATATTCAAATATTCAAATTAATATGACAGCCAGATATCTATTTATTTTGTGACGTTAGAAAAAAAATGAGTTTAATGGTGCCACTGGCTCTACTCAGTTCCTGGGGGTGGCGGGGTCGTGGATACAAATATTTACAATTTCATTTAAATTTATTACATAATTTTTGGGCGCCAATCTGTCTTTAACTCACATGCCAACCGACAGATAAATCGACACGTATTATTGATTATAAAGTTAACCTAACACTTAATTGATTTATATCACAAAGTTACGATTGATGGTGGTTAGAATTATGCTGTACTAATGGTGAATGAAATGAGGTGAATGATGGTTAATTGGGTGATAACTCAGGTACAAACAATTATGAACACGGCGTTCTTTCTTATCTGTTTGTGGGTTTTCCGGAAAGGAATTGTGTACAGCCGAGCTGGCGGAGCAGGCTCTTGATTAAATTTGGAGGTCGCTGAATGCTGACAAAGATGCTGATTAGTTCAATATCGAAACGACTCGGTATTCACTCTCCGTGCTTCGGATTTACTTCCAATCTATCTACATTCTATCTTCTATGCACATTGGGGTAAAGAAAGCCCTAAAAATTACGCAGTATAGGAATGGACACGAACGCCCTTCTTTTACTTACTATAGATGGAAAACGGCTCGCGTTAACTTGGTCCGTTGTTAAATTTTTGGACGGCCAATACAACAATTATTATTTCTTCTAATGCAATTCTCGGGCCCCAGTCGATTCGCAATTTCTCTTAAACGCCTTTCTTTAATCTCCGCTACAAACACACTTTCTCATACTTTTCTCTTCTCCCTTTCCTTTTTGCTTAACGCAACCGCCTGTTTCCCAATCTACTTTCTCCCTCCAATTTTCCGCGCGCACGCCGACTTTAGACGTTACAATTTTAAGACGGTATTTTGGTTGCATAAAATTTGGCGCCCTTCAAAAAATATTTTGTCTTGTAAAAGTAGACATAGGGAAAACAATACACGTAG